CTATTTTCTTTGTCTGCGTTCTGTTTTACCTTCTTTTTTTAAGACAAAATCTGTGAAAAAAACAAAACAAAAACTGCATGAAGGAAAATCATGTTGGATTTTTATTTTCAAAGGATTTTGAATTCAACTACAGACTAGAAATTGTTTTCTGTAATGTTAGAAAATCTGAAAATAATTCAAACTTTATTGATATATTTTTACCAACATTGTACATCATTGAGAGGATGGCCAACATAAGTGCAGAAATTAAACATTTTCTATAATGACTTTAAAAGCTTTTTGATCTTAAACATTTTTATTACATTGCTTTACAGAACTGCAGGCATTGCAATACATGATCTAATTCCAGGTCCTAGCGCAGCATTTATAGGGTTTTTTGTTGACATGCATTTTTGCTTTTTGTGTTTCATGCACTGTTTAAAAAGGAGAAGAAAAGTTGTAACCTCCTTAGCTGTTCTGAAAATGATTTTCTTTTCTTTGTAAAATCCTCCCATATTTAGGACTAAATGCCCTGAAACTCTTTCACCATGTTATCAGAAAATTGATAACAATGTTGATTCAGAACTTTCTCATGTGAATTGTTATTCTGGCAAACTGACCGGATCTGCTCATTCAGCCACCCTGTAATCGCATCCTCCATTGATACTGTTTAACTCTCTGTTTCTCATTAGAATGCTGATACACATCCTTGAGAAAATGTTTTCTTCAAAGCCTCTTTCTTCTTGTTCATTGTTATTATTTTCTCAAAGAAATAAGGAATAATAACTCATGATCAGAGAAAGTTGAGATTTTTCAGCCTTTAATTGTTTTCCTGTTTTCCCTAGGATGACCTCATTGAGAGGGAAAAAACTTCATATGCCATTTCTGGTGGCTGTTGTGCCTTAGCTGTCATTTATTTAATGGGAAAGCTCTATGTAGCCAATGCTGGAGACAGCAGGTAAATGCCATTAACTCATTTAAGTTTTTATTATGGAAACTTTTTCTTTCAGCTTCACTGCTGACCAAACTGTTCCTCTGTTTCCCTTTTTAGGGCCATAATTATACGAAACAATGAAGTCATTCCAATGACGAATGAATTCACCCCTGAGTCTGAGAGACAGCGACTACAGTACCTGGTATTGCTTCATTTTACACACAACTCACACTTTTTAGTCTTTCATAGTAAGCATATATGTTCTGTGAACACAGAGAACTAGTAATGGGTTTCATTAAAGATTTATCAATACTACTACTCCAAATACTACTACCTACCCATCTGGTGTTTTATC